CTTCTCTCTTGAGATTTGTCAATCAGACTTTTGACATTTCTGATTGGGGATCTACCAGGTTATTCGGAATCATCCATCAGCACTGGAGATCTATAAAAAGAAACTCTTAGAATCTGGGCAGGTGACCGAAGAAGATATTAGCAGGATACAGGAGAAGGTCCTTTCAATCCTCAATGAAGAATTCATGGCAAGCAAAGATTATGTTCCTAAAAGAAGAGATTGGCTTTCATCTCATTGGACTGGGTTTAAGTCACCTGAACAGCTTTCACGTGTCAGAAACACTGGGTATGCTGGCAACTGACTAGTTCTAGATTTTGTTGGTTGCCTTGTTTTTTGCATTTTTATATTGAAATCTTCATGCTGTTATGCAGAGTAAAACCTGAGATCTTGAAGAATGTAGGCAAAGCAATTACCACCTTCCCAGAAAATTTTAAGCCTCACAGAGCTGTAAAGAAGGTCTATGAGCAACGTCTACAAATGATTGAAACAGGGGAGGGAATTGATTGGGCTGTTGGAGAGGCTCTTGCTTTTGCCACACTTCTAGTAGAAGGCAACCATGTTCGATTGAGTGGTCAGGATGTTGAAAGAGGTACATTCAGTCACCGTCATTCAGTGGTTCATGATCAGGAAACTGGGGAGAAGTACTGCCCCTTGGATCATGTAGTCATGAACCAAAATGAAGAGATGTTTACTGTCAGCAATAGGTAATATACCAAATATTTCCATCTTCCTTTCTTGCCTTGAACTTTTTCTGGGCAGAAAATGCCTCAAGAATCCCTTAAATTAAATAGATATATTTTGTTGCCAAAGACTTGCTTGTGGTAACTTAAGAGTCTGCACTATGTGATTAATGAGACAGTATTTCTCTCGCTGAGTTGGTGCTGTATCCTGGACTTTCATTTAACTAATAGCAGTTCTGTCTCGTGCACAGCTCTCTTTCAGAGTTCGGTGTTCTTGGATTTGAATTGGGTTACTCGATGGAAAGTCCAAATTCTTTGGTAATTTGGGAAGCTCAATTTGGTGACTTTGCTAATGGGGCTCAAGTGATATTTGACCAGTTCCTGAGCAGTGGTGAATCAAAATGGCTGAGACAAACTGGTCTTGTTTTGCTTCTTCCTCATGGATATGATGGCCAGGGCCCTGAACATTCTAGTGCACGGTTGGAACGATTCCTTCAGGTATTCACAACAAAGACTTTTATCCCCTTTTCTTTCACTTGCATTCGACTATATGGCTTCTTACTCCAGGAAGTTTATTACAGATTATTCACAACAAATAACAAATAGCACAAGTTTTAAATACCAACTAGCATAGCAAAAGTTTTCTTACAGATTATTCACAACATTGAAGGAAATTTCATATTTCAAAATATTTTTCCCTAAATTATCATAATCTTTTGTTATACAATCTCAAATGCGTGTCTTCTTCATTTGTCCTGGTTTATACGAACATAGTCCTTACTGATGTCTATTTGAATCTTATTGTAGATGAGTGATGACAATCCTTATGTTATACCTGAGATGGAACCAACTCTTCGCAAGCAAATCCAAGAATGCAATTGGCAGGTTGTGAATGTTACAACCCCTGCCAATTACTTCCATGTTTTGCGCCGTCAGGTGAGGGCAACTGTTATAAATCCCTTTCCACCATCCTGACAGCTGTCTGCAATTTCTCATGTGCTATTGTTTCATTTCACAGATACACAGAGATTTCCGTAAGCCCCTCGTCGTGATAGCTCCCAAAAACCTACTTCGTCACAAGGAGTGCAAATCAAATCTCTCAGAGTTTGATGATGTACAAGGCCATCCTGGTTTTGACAAACAGGGGACCAGATTTAAACGTCTCATAAAGGATCGGAATGACCACTCAGACCTTGAGGAGGGTATCAGGCGCCTGGTTCTTTGCTCTGGAAAGGTGTGATACGCGGCTTCTGGTTGTTGCTTGTTCTGAATTCTGTTTTTTTATGCAGACCTAGAGGATATTAGTTATGACATTTGAAATCCTTGCTTGCAGATTTATTATGAGCTTGATGAAGTGCGTGGAAAGGTTGAGGCAAAGGACATTGCAATTTGTAGGGTGGAGCAGCTATGCCCATTCCCGTATGATCTCATTCAGCGTGAGCTTAAGCGATATCCAAGTAAGTCTTTTTACCTTCATGGTGTAATGGGTTGTCTAGTCTTCTAGAGACCCAAATGTATGAGATTTAGTTACTGCACATTAGATTGAAATATCTTATCAGTTTCTTATAAAATTCAAACATTAATTCTTTGGGGAGATTGTTGTTGGGCGTGGTTTCATATTCGGGGTGGCTACACTTGAATTTCTTCTCTCTCTTTTACTGAGCTTCCTATCTTTTGACATCACGAGTAACTACATCCCGACTCTTTTTTGTCTGCGTTTCTTTTAGATGCGGAGATTGTTTGGTGCCAGGAAGAGCCAATGAACATGGGCGCATACAATTACATTGCTCCACGACTTTCCACTGCCATGAAAGCACTGGAAAGAGGAACCGTGGATGACATCAAGTATGTGGGACGGGGGCCATCTGCTGCATCAGCCACTGGTTTCTACCAGGTGCATGTGAAGGAACAGACTGAACTTGTGCAAATGGCCATGCAGCCTGAACCAATAAAGTTTCCTAACTGAAGCTCTTGCGAATTGTTGAGTATAAAGTCTAAGAACAACAATCAAACATTTATACATTAAAAATATGTTGTGAAGTTTTGATACCATTTATATCTTGCCTTGTTTATGATGCTTGTTCATCTTTTCCCCCCCTTTCCTTCAAAACTTCTAGTCAAGGGACCTTGGGTTGCTTTACACCCAAGCTGAGCTGCATTTCGAGATACTGTCTTCAATAACGCGGAAGGAAATGCTCGTCTTTATTGCCGCACGATTCACAGTAACATGGGTGTTCTGCTATTTTTTTTTATTGGGTATTCACGTGTTCTTACCATGAAATGCATTGGAGAGACACGTTAGGCGAATATCGATTCCCTAATCGGTACATGTGTTTGTTCCAGTGCAGAGGCGTCCGAACTCGTTTTAACCTCTCTTGCATCATCCATTATGATCATTTTACCATCTGTTATTGGACTAAAAGTTACCTGGTTGCAGATGACTCTTGAATTAACAAGAGCTAAAACCCTTGGAAAAACACTGATAATCCAGATTCAATGATATTGTATTAACAGTTTTGCCTTTTTTATAGAAAATTATTCTGGATATTAAGGACTAGGACAGTGAATTTTTCTTTTTAAGGCGCATTGTTTATTATTAAATTAATTGACGATAATTTACTCGATTACCTTTCAAAGGAAAAAAAATAGCTTTTTTTATTTTCATATATATATATATTTGTTATTATCAAGATGATTTAGAGATAATTTAACATTTAAATAAATATAAATTATAATTCAAACAAAAAAATAGTTGATATGGTGCATGCGCCAACATGTGGAGGTGGTCTTGCCTTTCAAGTAGTATTTGTGGTGCTTCTTGGTAGCTAAAAACTTACTTCCATGATGTTATTGAAAGCGTTACGATATTTTTTTTTTTATTAAGACAATGCATGATAGCACTGGCGTGACAATGAGACATTAATTATATATTTTTTCTTTTTTCTTCCCTGTAAAATTCATATTGTACATATAAAATTTAAGAGTTATTTTTTTATTTATTGAGATTTTAATCTTGGTTTTTATTTTTAATTTTCATTCTTGTTTTTTTATTTTTAATTTATTTTTAATTTCATCAATCAATCCCAATATGTTATTTTTTTTTAATTGTATCAATCAATCCCAATATGTTATTTTTTTTAATTTGATTATCATTTTTTAATTGTTTTTTCGGATTCTTTTGTTAAATTGATTTTTTTTTTAATTTCATCATTCTATATATATAAAAAAAATTATAGCTATCCTATAATTTATTTTTTGTTTTATTTTTTGATCCTCATTCTTTTAAATATATTTTTATTAAATCAATTTTTTTTATCTCACCCCTTCGTAAAAAAAATTAGTTATCCTTTAATTTATTTTTATTTTCATGTTGATTTTTATCTTTTAATTACTATTTTTTATTTTGAATCATCCTTCCAACAAAATTTTTTAGTTATACTCTAATTTTGTTTTTACCTCAACGTTCGTCCTCATCTTTTAAGATTACTTTTATTAAAAAATAATTTTAATCTTTTTTAACGTTATTTTATATATATAAAAAAATAATCCAACACCGCGGAGTAGTGCACACCCCGGGTCGACGTCTAGTGGATTACTGTATGTAGTTTCCAACTTGAGAATTCAGAATTAATGCAGGGAAAGGATTTAGACAGAGGACGGGAAGGCAGGTGGGATCCTCTTATGTAAGTGAAAATTTGCCCAGGCAAGGATTTGACTTCTTGGTATCTTCAAGTCCCCCGTGTCAGGTGTAGCTGACATTGACACATGGCGTTAAACGATCACCAACTAGTGATGTCTCCTCTCCGGCATAATATAGTTTCGTAGCTTTAGTTTTCCACTTTTCCTGTCTGCTATATATATATATATATTAAATCTGTTTGTTTCCTGGGAAAAAAATTACACTTGGGCTTCAGATACCGTATTAGGCTTTTAATGGTACAATAGAGGGTTTTTCAATTTATCACCAAGGCAAATTGTTAACCTCATTTTCTATTTTGTTGTCTGTTTTTTTTTTTGTCCACTTTAAACGAGATTTTTGATGCATTGTTTTCCCTCTTGAAGCTTATTTTTCTCTTCTGTGTTATTAACATGGTAGCTTTTCTAGCATTTTCAATCTGTTGAAGCATGAAGGTTTAGGGAATCTGTATTGTTAAGCCTTTTGAGTTACGGTGATTGCGATTTTGTCTTACAAGCATTCCTGATTTGTTTATACAGGACTCTATTAAGAAACAAAATGCTGATGCTAATGGCTGGGGCTTGAGCTTGGGAGGTGCAATCTTCGTTCAGCTGTAACTCCTCGATCCTTTTGAATCCATCGGTATGAGGTGATTTAGAGCAGGTTGTCGTGTGGCATGGTTCCCCATCCGGAAAACTCTATCCCAGGGTGGATCATATTTGACAGGAAGGCAGGCCATACCCTCGAGGAATCAGACTTTTCACAGTACAATCTTTAGAGCGAATGCAAACACTGCACCCGTCCCTCCTCCTGTGCCTCTCTCCGGACTAACTCATAATTTCTTAGAAGGCACGAGTAGGGTGTACATAGAAGAGCTTCAAAAGGCCCGGGAATCTGACCTGGATAGCGTGAATGAGTCATGGGACAATTTCTTTAGGAATTTTGCAGGACAGACAGCAACATCAAATGGAGTTACAGGCCAAACAATACAGGAGAGTATGCGTTTGCTCTTGTTGATTAAAGCTTACCAGGTTAATGGCATGAAAACCAAGTTAGATCCATTGGGTTTGGAAGAAAGGGAAATCCCTGATAATTTGGACCCTGCTTTTCATGGGTTTACTGAAACTGATCTGACAGGGATTCTTTATAGGAATGTGGAACATTCCTGGTTTTTTAGCTGACAATCGTCCAGTAATGACCCTGCCGTCCATATTAACTAGACTCGAGCAGGCCTACTGTGGGAGCATCGGTTATGATTATATGCGAATCAATGATAAAGAAAAACGCAACTGGTTAAGGGAAAAGATGAAACATCAACACCAATGACATTCAAAAGGGAGCGGCGTGAGGTTTTCCTTGATAGGCTGACGTGGAGTGCACAATTTTAGAATTTCCTGGCCACTAAAATGAAAGCAGCTAAATGATTTGGGCTCAAAGGTGGGGAGGCTCTAATCCCTGGGATGAATGAGATGTTCAATAGGGCCTCAGATCTTAGAGCTGAGAATATAGTTGGTGGAATGCCTCACAGAGGAAGGTTGAATGTCTTAGGTAATGTTTTCAGGAAACCACCTGCCCAGATATTCATTGAGTTTGACAAAAATGCGAAGCCTGTCGATGGGATTGGGCTTTACACAGGTACTAGTGACTTTAAATATCATTTGGGAACTTCATTTATCTTTGCTCGCAAATCCAAGCCACTTGGAAGCTGTTGACCCCGTTGTCCTTGTAAAAACCAGAGCAGAGCAGTATTACACTATAGATGTTAACAGCACTAAGAATATGGCTGTCGTGATTCATGGGGATGGCAGCTTTGCCGGGCAAGTTGTAGTATATGAAACTCTACATCTTAGCGCACTTCCTAACTACACTACCGGTGGGACCATACACGTAGTAGTGAATAATCAAGTAGCCTTCACTACGGATCCAAAGTATGGTAGATCTTCACAGCATTGCACTGATGCTGCCAAGGCCTTCAATGCACCCATTTCTCACGTAAATGGAGACGATATGGAGGCGGTTGTTATGGTCTGTAACCTTGCAGCAGAGTGGCGCCAGGCATTCCATTCTGATGTGGTGGTTGATATAGTATGTTATCGTCGATTTGGGCATAATGAGATTGATGAGCCACTTTTCACACAGCCTCAAATGTATAAGGTATCATATTTATGTTCCTTTCGTCTAGAACAAATTATGGTTGATTTGAGAAACGATCTATAAGAATATTTACTCTGGCTCTGATATTTCTCTCCGTCACAGCTTTTCTCCCATTTATTCTCATTGCTGGATATTTCAGGACCGAGTTACTGAGTTGGAGTCTGTGGTAACAGGTCATTCAGAAACATCCCACGTCTCTCGATGCATACCAAAACAAACTTTTATAATCTGGAGATGTCACTCAAGAAGACATTCATAACACACACAGAAAGGTGAATTTAGTACTCAACGAAGAATTCTTGAACAGAAAAGATTATATTCCTCACCGAAGAGACTGGCTATCATCTCATTGGTCTAGTTTCAAGTCGCCTGAACAGCTTTCACGTATCCAAAACACAGGGTATGTCATTAATTTGTTTGCCAGTTCTCTCTAGCTTTTGTGCCTTCTAGCTGTTTATTGAAACTTCTTGCTGTTACAGGGTCGAACCAGAGTTATTGAAGAGAGTGGGCAAAGCAATCACAGTCCTTCCAGATAATTTCAAGTCTTACAACCAAGTGAAAAAGGTTTATGATGATCGAGCACGGATGATTGAGACAGGGGAAGGCATTGACTGGGCACTTGCAGAAGCACTTGCTTATGGAGCATTGCTAGTAGAAGGTAGCAATATTTGACTCGGTGTTCAGGATGTTGAAAGAGGTACATACAGTCATCGGCATGCTATGGTTCATGATCAGGAGACGGGGAGGGAGTATTGCCCCCTGGACCATATTATGAAGGGACAAAACGAGGAGATGTTTACTGTGAGCAACAGGTAACATTTGAAACTTTTGCGCGTTTAGTTTTTCTGCAAGCACTTGAATGTGTTCAAAGTCCTCATATTCGGTGAATCTTCGAATTGGAGCTTATTGTGTTTGTTAATCCAATTCCAAATGAGGTGTAAGTTATTTATTTATTTTATAAAAATCCTGGATTGTTACGAATCGTTTCCCAACGGATCCTAAACTTTTATTATGAAATCTATCTAATGGATCGGATTGTTTATTTTTGAGATGAGATATAGTGATATGCCACTACATGTCTATTCTGGATAGAGTCTAACAATCCCGCTTATATTAGTGCCTTTCTTTTTTCAGTAAAAGCATGTTGTTGTAGCAACTTCATCCCTCCCTTCTTGTAGACTGCAGCTCTTGACATTTCTCATCTAATTGTTATAGTTGTGATATATGAAGTTCAAACATGAGCAATGTGCTCCTTTGAGCATCTCTCTTTCAGAGTATGGTGTTCTTGGATTTGAATTGAATTCGGTGACTTTTCTAATGGTGCTCAAGTGATATTTGATCAGTTCTTGAGTGCTGATGAGGCAAAATGGCTGCGTCAAAATGGGTTTTTTCTTCTACTTCCTCATGGTTATGATGGCCAGGGTCCTGAACATTCAAGTGCGCGATTGGAGCGTTTCCTTGAGGTACAAACTCAGCAAAGGATATGTTTCGTATATTGCTTCAAGAATCTGTTCTAAACATTCAAATATCTCCTTTTGAATCCTGTATGCTGACCTTGCATCTGCCTTATCTACAATCATTGTTTTCTTGGTCTGTTTGGATTCTCTTAAAGTCAGTTTAGGGAAATGTTGAAACAACTCACAATAAAACTGAATTTGCCCTTCATAAGGTAAGTTTCTACGAAAGTTATTTTTTCATTCCATGCAAGCTAGCAGGTTTTTTCTTTGATATGATGCGATCTTTCTTAGTGATTTTTTATGTTTTCCATGGAAAACCCTCTGCTTGTTCCCTAAGCAATACATTCCGAAGAGTATATATTTTATTTTGCATTTAGATCATTAATCTGCATTCCTTCAGGATAACATTTGGTTTTTATAACTACGGAACTACTAATGGTTTCAAATCTTATGGAAGATGAGTGATATCAACCCTTATGTTGTGCCTGAGATGGAACCAACTCTAAAAAAAGTAGATACAAGAAAGCAATTGGCAGGTCGTGAATGTCACCAAGCCAGCCAACTACTTCCATGCTTTGCGACGCCAGGTGAGAGTGCAAGATCTGGTTATGATTTATGAATAATCTTGTCTTTTATGTTAAGTTTTTAGGGTTCCTTCTTATTTGTGGCTCCATCTCCCAGATACACAGGGGTTTCCGTAAGCCTCTGGTAGTCATGTCACCAAAAAGCCTTCTTCGACACAAGTTGTGCAAATCAAATCTTTCTGATTTTGATGGTGTTGAAGGCCATCCAGGTTTTGGTAAGCAAGGCACCAAATTCAAGCAACTTATAAAGGACCGGAATGGCCACTCTGATCTAGAGGAAGGCATCAGACGATTAGTTCTTTGCTCTGGAAAGGTGTTCTTGTTTTTACTTCTGAATTTTAATGATGAATAATTTCCTTCCCTTTTCTTACAAGTACTGGACTACTAGACAAGAGCACTTCTGTGAAATTGTACCTTTGTCGAAAAAATGTTGCCCTCTTTCTTGTATTCGTTCAATGATTTCAGCTGTGCATGGCAAGTTCTTTAAATTCTTTAACTATATTGCAGGTTTATTATGAGCTTGATGAAGAGCGGGAAAGGGTCGATGACAAAGACATTGCAATTTGTAGGTTGGAACAACTATGCCCCTTCCCATATGACATCGTCCAACGAGGACTGAGGCGTTATCCAAGTATGTTCTCAAGCACAGGAAATAGAAGTTGATTTTCTCCATTATGCACTGAGAAGTGCTGCAGGCTATAGTAAATCTAGGAAGATCCAGAAATGGAGCATGCTTTCAGTAATTGGAATCCCTAATAGATTCGAATGCGGGTGGGAATTCTAAGGAGTCCAAGGCTGAAATCATCTTTATTAAACATGTCAAGATTTACCCCACAGGAATTTCCAGGAAGAGCCAATGAACACCGGTGCTTACAGTTACATTGCACCCCGTCTTTGCACAACTATGAAAGCGATGGGCAGATGATCCTGGGAGGATATCAAATACGTTAGCAGGGGTCCATTCACAGTTTCCTTGGACTGCATACTTGATTAATTTTCCAGCTACTAGTCGTCTTCTCCACTATTGGGCCTGTAATTGGCCCTTTCGACTTTCAGGATTAACAAAACCAACTAATTAATTAGTCCATACTGTTTCAGAAACTTATATTCGGTCCCCGAATTCTTAAATCTCTTTATAATTTAGTTATTTTTTTTGTTCTTTTGGACCCACCAGCGATAATAAGCCGAGCATGATTACTTGGTCCCTAACAAGAGGCCCATGAAAAGACGGAGACGACACGTCAGATACAAGCAACACGGGTAGTCAAATACCGATGGGCTGATCTCAAGGCCTTTTCTTACGTGCAGGTGCAGCGTTCGAAGTCACGTGAGACGACACCAACCCCTACAGATTGCCTCTTGCTTACCACACGCTAATGAAATGAAATCTATCTAGGAAGATTTATTTATTTATTGAAATGAAAAGTCAGATGGCACTACCATGCGAAAGGAAAACGATTCATGACTTCATTTTGGATATGGCAAACAAGAAGTAGAGCTTTCAGTCTGTCACCGAGCTGTGTCCTCTTCGAAACTAAAAATGAACATTACTTGCCAATATCTGCATGCATGCACATGGCACAATAATGCTTCAAGCTGTCTGAAATACGTGTATGAAGTTTGCTTGGATTTGTAACAGTCCTGGATTTTATCAGCATATCAATCATATTGTAGACTTGGAGTGGCTGGTAGCTAGCTAGCTCATAAGGTAGACGTACAAGAAAGATGTATATATTCGGGAAAGAACTATATCATTGGGGTGTTGATATGCCTTGGAGGAAATGCTACTGCTTTAACTATATTTGGAGTCTTATAGATATGATTACGTACGTCAATTAATTATTTATGAGTCTCAAATGAAATTGATCTCTATGTTTGTTGCTAGCTAGCTGATTGCACTTGCCGCGCGAGGTCGACTTGAAATTAATGGGAATGCATCAGAGAAGTAAGTTTGTTTGTTTTTTTTTTTTTGGCAAGATGGATATCCATCGATCTTAAAAGGCAATAATTATAAAAGTGAATTCACCGATTTTCACACAGCAAGAACTTGAGTTCGTCGTTGGTTTATCGAGAACCCTAATGAATGTCATCAGGAACCAAGTCGTTTCTTTAGTTAATCGTAGTTCTTAGTAAGTGTTGAGCTAATAATAACGGCGACCTTGGTGAGATACAGATCAGCATCATTAACTATGGGCTCCCAGATGGTGATCAAACTCAGCACGAATTAAAACCATTAAGTTGTTTTCTGTCTTTAATTAGGAACAAAGTTTTTGGTCTGCTTGCATGTGGAGCGCGGATTTGCAGTTTTACAATAAATATTGTGGGCATTGAATGAGTTGGAAGTTACTAAGGAGAAAAGTAAATTCTCTCTCAAGAAAATCAGATAAAAAATAATGGTGCATGAAATGGAGTTGACTACAGGTGTGTGTGTGTGTGGCCGGCTTTTAGCCAGTTATTTGAAACTGTAATTCTGCATAGTGCTTTCAAAAGGTAGTCTCGAAAGTAATCAGATGAAATTAATGGTAACAAAATCTTCTTACACATGCATACAAGTGGGATTAATAAGCTAGGATTTTCTGGTTTTAATTTTAAGCCAAAATCAAATTAAGCGAGATTCAGTATGATTTTCTCAACCATGCTAGCTATAATTTCTCAAGAAAATCAGATAAAAAATAATGGTGATTTTCTCAACCATGCTAGCTATAATTATATATGATCTGATTAAATGAAAGATAAATTCCTATTGGATTCAGCCAAAAAATCTGAATTAAATAACATGTAAAATGGTTGGATCACATCATGACAATTAAGACACGGAAATATGAAGGAGGTGCTGGTTCCTATTTAGAGGCAAATCACTTCGTGGGAGCATGAAATTATTTGAGTATGAGATGGATTGCAATTTGTTGCTGAAAATAAGTAAAATATGGCCACCATGATGGAAAAGATATGTATATAGTGAAAAGGTTAAACAAGATGAAATGGAAAAGATATGTATATAGTGAAAAGGTGAAACAAGATGACTCTGTTCACTCTTTAGTCTAGAGCCACTAATCCCGACGCCCACCATCCACGTTTGAGGCCATCAATGTTTCTCATCATATCTTGACATCTCGCTAATTAAATTCCAAGTATAGATTAAACTATTCAATCATGGAATATTCGGTCACGACTCACCAAATTAATTATCTAGTTCTGAGTGATATATATATATATATAGAGTAAGGAATTGATTTATCTAGCTATCCAATTAACGAGAATGAGAGCCCAGAATAGCAACATCGGTCTAGTCACAAATGATCATATCCACAGTATTATAGTAAATTGCACAAGAAAAGGTTAAGAGGTTTACTTTTATATTTAATCTCTACATAATTATTGTAGACTGTTCTACTTGAATAACTAATTAGTTAAACTTTTTATTATTCTCAACTCATAAACATTTATATTGTTTAAATGTTAATTAATGAATATTTTTTTGGTTATAAACTCAAATCTTTTTGACAGAGAGACACTTTAAATAATTAACGATGCATAAATTATTAAAAACTATATATTGACATGAGGGCGCGGCGCTTGCACAGTCAATATATATATAGCTCTTCGATCATGTAATGACACTAATCTAATTAAATGCTATGTTTTTATTATTATTATATATTATTATTTTTAATCCTCGAGCTAGCTAGCTGCATATGTTTTCTTCTTTTACACGCTAGCTAATTGAGCTATTGTTTTCCAGAAAGTTGCAAATTAATATATATTTTGTTTGGCGAAAGCATTGTAACGGAAAATGGAAAGGTGACAAAACCTGAGCAACAAATCAAATCCCATCCCATAACCTTGAACCCCCCAAAAAAATGCTTTAAGGCAAAGGTTACGTTTAAGTAAACCCCACCACTTTCCTAGGTATTGTTTTGCTTGTTGCGTTCAGCTCTCTTTTCTCCCTATCCTTAGTCAGCAACATTAATGGTACTGTTTGATATATGTATTTTTTGTGCAATTAAAATGACTGCTAGTTTTCAGGTTGTAATGGAAACCAAATGAAGGTGGTCTTTCGTAATAAGATTAGTTAGTGGAGTCCCTAGACTTTAAACAAACTAAAGACGTGTAGATATTGCATTGATCAGTGAAAAACGCTATATAACCAAGCTATCCCATCCTCACTTGAACTCATCAGCTCTTTGCGTTGTGTGGAGAAAGAGAACGACATCTTGAGAGAGAGAGAGAAGAGCAATCATCATGGCAACAGAGTCCTCGGATTCGCCTTATGATAGGGCAAAGCCATTTCTGGCTGTGGTACTTATGCAGTTTGGCTATGCAGGCATGTCCCTAATTTCTAAGCATGCCCTAAATGAAGGGATGAGCCAGCATGTATTGGTAGTCTACCGGCATGCCGTTGCCACCATTGTCATTGCTCCATTTGCCTTTATTTTTGATAGGTATGGGGTTTCTGTGGGTCCTTTCTATCATAAATATACGCTAGTACAAAGCGATAGCTTAATTATCCTTTTTTAACCAAAAAAATATATATGATATTATTAAAGAATAACTAACCATTTATATATTCACCAATATTTTATGCAGGAAAGTAAGGCCAAAGATGACTCTCTCCATCTTCTTTAAGATAATGTTGATGGGCTTGTTGGAGTGAGAATCTTGATTTAATTACCTCTTACAAGCTTGTTCCAGCATTTTTTTCTCTCCTCAACCTTGTTAAACTGTAATAAATATTGTGCAGGCCAACGCTTGACCAGAACTTGTACTACACTGGCATGAAATATACCACAGCAACTTTTGCTTCTGCCATGTGCAATGTTCTTCCGGCTTTTGCATTTTTGATGGCTTGGGCCTTGAGGTAGTGACAATTAACTTGTTTGTAAATCTGTAGGCGTGACCCTCGCGCATATTATATGCGCATAGATACACATGCGGCCCGTATATCCTAATTATGTTTATATATACATATATAGTAAGGTTTTGTTTTTATGATTTCGTAGGCTTGAGAAGGTTAACATAAGGAAAATGCATAGCCAGGCAAAGATAATTGGGACCATAGTCACAGTGGGAGGGGCTATGCTTATGACTCTTGTCAAGGGGACCCAGTTGGATTTGCCGTGGACAAAAGGGTACGATCAACATCCATCTACAGGTGGATTAATCAAGCAGGATCCTATTAAGGGTGCTCTTATGATCACCATAGGTTGTGTCTGTTGGGCTAGCTTCATAATTCTCCAGGTGATTTGACCTTTTGCAATTAATATATATCATATTAGATAAAAAAAAACATTTATGCAATCATCAACAAAAAATCGTCGGGTAATTAACTTTCTTTTAGAATTTCATTTATTTTTCTGTTTTAAAAATAATTTTTAAAAAAATTAAAATTTATATTTTTTTTCAATTTTAAATTATTTTTTTACATTTTTAGATCATTTTAATATATTAATATAAAAAATAATTTTTTTAAATAAAAAAATATTTTAAAAAACCATTACTAACACAACCTCAATCACCCTATAATCTTTGTTGCCATCCAAAACTAGTCATGACATGGAGAAGATATTGATGACAAGATTATCTAGCTACATGGACAAGCTACCTTATAGTCTTTAATTCCGTCTTAGTATACCAAAGCTAATTATTTTCGTGGGGCCATTCTTATCGGTAAGAATTATGTTTTATTTCATTTTATTTACAGGCAATAACATTAAAAACATACCCAGTTGAGCTCTCCCTTACAGCTTGGATATGTTTCATGGGAACTATAGAAGGTACTGTGTTAGCAGTTGTAATGGAGAGAGGAAATCCCTCAGCTTGGTCTATAGCCTTGGATTATAAACTATTGGCTGCTGTTTATAGTGTAAGTAATCTTTAATTCTAACAACATCTTTCTTTTTCCTATTGAGTTATAATTTATTAACAGTTTTTAAATTATTTTAATTTGTTTTTTCAGTTGACTTGAGAAAGAATATTGATTTCATTTTCCTTTAT